TAAAACAATAAAGAGTGCCCAAAATTATTTTTAGCTTTGTCAATTTGAAACTGAAATTGCCTAACTTTTTAAATTATTAGTAAAATAATGAATAAAGCTTATATAATAATTTATCCCGTACTGGGGTTAAATAATACATTAATAATAAAAATAAATCTATTATAAACATAAATTTTAAAAATCGATTGTGTCATTCGATCTGAATCGGCTGTGCGGTCAACGCTTTTATGGGAGTCATGACGCAAACAGACGCCCAAACAAGGACGATTATGTCACCGATTACTAATATTCGAACCGCTACATAGGTTTTTACTCTCGTTTCATATGACGTCGGGAATACTGAGTTTGTATACGTTTTTTCCGCTTCCTTATTTTTATTTGGTTCTCATTCTACTCGGGTAACTTAAAGTAAGGCCACTAATGAAATGTTTGCACATTTTAAGTGATAATACATCAACTGTTCAGTGGTGACAGAAATCATTGGAAATAGTTTTAGAAATTTAAATTGTTTATAGTGCTAATCTTTGCACTTAATATTGAACATTAAAATATGTAGAAAAAGTGCGAAAAGATTGTCGCCGCTGTGGGAATCGAACCCACGTCTTCGGCATCAGGCCGCGAATGCCGACGTGGGTTCGATTCCCACAGCGGCTACAATCTTTTCGTACTTTTTCTACATGTTTTAATAGTTTTAGATAAAATTTTGAATATAAAGTCCTCCTCCTCTCAATCTACATGCCACCTGACTCTGTGTAGGTCTCTTTCCGCTAACCACTGAGTTGTGTATGGTTTATTCCTTGTTAAACATTTATATTTTATTAAAATGCTATTAGCGCCGCTCAAGTTTTATCGTTTGCAGATAATATAATTCAGCCGATACAGTAGCAAATAATGTAATGACAGAATATAAATCCTTCTCGAGGTCGTTACCAAGTTTGGATTGGTACAAAATAGAGCTTGTAGTAGGTTACGTAGCATTAATAGTTAAAAGACAACGTCTGTACGGAACGGACAATTAAATGAATATTTCATTATTCTTTTTTAAGTATTCAAATTTTCGATGGCCAACAGAAAAAATACGCAGGTGTTTAATGTCTTAGATATGTAAAGAGCGTTACGAGTAATTTACTTAGCGTACAAATGAACGAGAACATTTAAATTAAATCTGGCAGTAAGGTTTATTACGCCGCGCGATGTTTTGTTTGTTTCTTTTTTGCGTCTCAATCAATCCCTTTTATGAATGCTTAATGTTGTTTAACTGCCTAGCCGAAGAAATACCATCTCAGATTATTGTAATTTTAAGTGCTCGTAATTTTAAGTCCACTCTACCTAGATTAGGTATTTTGGAACTAAAGCTCGGTATCATTTCCATCTTCACTACATGTCAGGATGTAGGGCTTCCAAAAAGCAACAAGATTACAATAAACAGAACCTTGGTTGTTTTTTTGTGGAGAAAGAAATTGCTACCCTAGCAATAAGCCTATGTATGAACACTATGTATCCTGTATTTTCCTTGGGTGGAATAAAGTATATTCTATTCTAATGATAATGACCCTGTAATTTGTGCTAGAGCGCTAAGTGGGAAAATAATCTGTAGGGAACATAGGGTTGGGTTATGAAAAGTTGGCAAGCTGGTAATCGCTTCTCCTGGTGGTAAGCGTTTACCAATGCCCATGAACATCTACATACTTGGTGTTGCGGATGGGCTGCCAACGTTAAAAAAGATGGTAATCCTTTTGTAAATATACGGTCAGCCCAATTTTCGCTCGAAGCCTATGAAGATGAGCAGATTATTTCGGACTCAAGCCGATCGATGGCATCTCGCGCATGAAAATTGCTCGATGACATTCCGAGAAGCGGTAGCCGTATTCAAAGCATACGCGCGAAATAAGTAATGGCTGATGGAGCGCACGCGCTAACGGTGGGCCGCGGCTCTGCTCGCCGCGCCCGATTGTATTCAAATATGGCGTTATTCTGGTAATTTATACAGCGTGTAGTTGCCGCACTATTGCTCGAACGGAATATAACAGTACGTAGTAAATTTTATATCAGGTACATATATCTTTGTCCACTTTTCAAAAGGATTGTGTGGAGGCAACAACTACGACCATTGTCTAGAATCCAAAGAATGTGCGTTTAAAAATTGGTCATTTGTAATTCAATTATTATATTCACAGAAATTGGTGCATTCAAAGATAATTGGGAATAATTAGAGAAGATGACGATTTAACCGATACATTTTCACTGAGGGACGGTTTGATGAAAGAGTAATGTTATATTCTTTTGTTAATATTCTATCGATAATTCAATTCGTTTAGAATACTTAATAATAATTCAGAATTAGACTGAACTTGTTTTTAATGTTGTTAATGTTCCTTAGTTCGGACACTTCATCATTTTTTCGAAACTGATGGTTAATTAACACGATATTAGTAAGTACCTGGCACTGATCGTTTTGATAAAGAAGGTTGTGCCTTTCGCATATCTTTTTGAACTATTTCATACTATTCAAGCCACCCTTCAATTTGATCGATATTATCCTCATTCCAAAAAGTAACCGCCTGTAGGTGAACACTACGTGTTGTGTTTAATTCGTCACGCGTGCAAGCCTCATTGCCAGGTCCGTCCGCGTCGCGGTCTATGAATACTATTACTGGATTTAGCACTTTTTTTAATCTATGATATACGCCGATGGGCGCATTCTTTGACGGTATATATTAAAGAGTTTAATAATTTTGCATAAATCACCCAGTCAGTGCACGGTGGTGACGGCTTTCGGTTACTCTAAGACTACGTAGCGAGTATTATCTTTAAAAGCTTTGTTAAGTTTAATTGTATGAAATGTTTTGCTTTTGGCTAAGATTTTTTTCGATTCCTTGTTTTATGTATTGTCTCATTAAACTTATACGTTGAATCAAGCAAGCTTAGTGCATCGCACATACATAATCTTTAGTTTATAATTGATAAATTTCCGGAGATTTGTAACCGTATTTAAATTACTTTGTGTATATAATGATTGATGTAATGCACGGTTGGAAATACCGAGGTTCAGGCTAGCTAAAACCAGGAAAAGGTGACGTCCACAAACAATTAAGTGTAAATAATTTCAAACCCTTTTTTAAAAGCCACCTTAATGGTAAGGGACTATTATAATGTCGAGGAATACATCGAGGACAAGGATGTGTGGAAATGACTCTTGCTCTTGCAAGTCCCCTGGCTCATAAGCCTATGTTAAATAAAGAAATTTTGACTTTGACATGACTTTGACTTTGATTTATTCACTCCTTATAATAAATAAATTGAAAATAAGACCTTTTTATCCTCATTGTTTTGTATATATTGGATTATTTTTTGCTTTCAATTGACTAGCGTCGATAAACTAAATGGACTAATAAGCTAAGAAAATATTGGTTCACTGTCGCAAAAATCCATAGTTCTCTTATCACATCCGTATGTATTGCGTAGATGTGCTTAGATACTGATTTATAACGAGTTGTGATAAATCAGTGTCCTAGTGCTCGCTTTTAATTAACCCCTAACTCGAACAACCTGACTTCAAACCCCGTATCCGGCATCAACGAAATTGTTAATTGTGATATAAACCCTTATTTTTCACGTGGTCAGCTGAAAAGGAAAATATCGTGAGAAAATATTTTCGAAGTAATAATTTGAAAATAAAACGAAGATATGTGAATATATATGATATGTCTGCCAATCCAGGGTGAGGTCGCATATATTCTACTCCAATTTGCCCAGTACATAAGAATTTTTCTCTTAGAACCTGGCTGGCAGATGTTTTTCAATCCAATTAGTTCCAAAAATATATATAATTTGTTTATGGAGAAATTATCTATAGATCATACAAATAATGTGCTTGTCCCTACAGGACTTGAACTCAAGACCGACGAAATCTTTCCTTAGCAACTGTTCGAACCGAGCCATTAAGAAACATTGCTACGTCTCTGAATATGGCTTCTGTCCACCAAGTAACAGGATCATTAACAGATGAATCATGAATAATATTTATATACATTGCCCTTACTTAAATGTATTACCGTTTCTTTCAATTATTTTCATCATTTTATGTGCTATAAATACTTTCAAAAACTAATTTCATGGTAGATTCAAGACTACAACGCATAGTTTAATGATGCTATTACCAACCTCTGCTTAATATCATCCAATGTAGTCATCTGTTTTTGTTTACTTATCATCGCTTTTTGTAATGTTATAAAAATCTAGTTTATTATTTTTAATATTTTAATGTTTAATACATTTTTTTGAAATTATAAAGATAAATTCTATTTATTTAAAATGTTAGCCGAAACATGCATTTATAATGTAAAAAAAAATACTTAGTATATTAAAATCCTTATTTTTTTTATAAATAAAAAACATTTTCGCACATTTTTACGCTGCGATGACATAGTCTCGAATATGTGATTCTATTAAAATATTTATGTGAGATATTAGTACATTAAGTGCAATATTTTTTGCAGTTTTTTGAAAGTCTGAGAGTACCTTGTTTACCTAAAAACATGAAGATTTTGTAAAATTATTGCCTGGCTTAAGTTCGGATATGCCATTACGATAACAGATTAATAGTTTTGTTACAAAATTTTATTGATTCCTTATAAAACACATAGGTATGTTTAATAACTTTGATCTTCGTAGTACTTAATAAATGAACATGTGAAGGTTTTAATAAAAATACGAAATATTTTATAGACTCCAAAAATAAACATTATAAAAGCATCTGTTTTATTAAGTTTAACACAATTTAATTCAAAGGGATAAGTAAGACTAGTCCAATTATAAGTACATTACATATTAAATAGCCTCATTACAATTTTAGTTGACTTGACAATTAATTTGTTAAGATTAAAACTAATGTAGAATTTATATAACATATACCTTTACCAATGTAATGTAAATTGTAGCACATTGTAAATAAAAATCGGGAGCTCTAAGATCTTAGCGTAGTGTCATGTTTCAATTCAAACGATCTTGTTTTCAGTGATCTTGGATCCATTTTGCAGGTTGGTCTTGGTATTGGCTCGGGAGTTGCGCGCAATAGATGGGCTCCGCACATGCAGGACCGATTCCACCACTACCTCTTCTACGTAGGGTTTTCCCTCGGCATCTGAAAAAGTGTGATGTTTAAGCTGGTTGTCTTGTTTTGCCGTTAGATGGTGCTGTATCCATGTGGCTCGTAACAATTTCCCAACGTGTCGGCCAACCAAATATATGTGTGAGTGAAACGTGAGGTAACTAACACAAAAATAATGCGCTGTTCAAAATCATATTATGCATAAATTCAAATTACGTGTTTTCAAAATATATGTATATATAGAGATCATATTTAAATACGGATTTCAGATCAAAGATGGTCAGACAAAAATTGTGCTATAAAGTAGAAAATGTGCCTAACTTTAGGTTAAGAGATAAAAAGTATTTAGGATACCAGATAAATTCAGGTCACCTATTTTTTAAATTATTAAAACAACAGTAATATAGCGCCATAACATATCCGCACGTTTATCGACATATGTATATTCGTTTTCCTAGGTGGGGTCGGCACAACATTTGAATTTCCATGTTTTAATGGTATTGGCTTGGTTCCGCCCTGGACGAAGTACCCCTTAGATGAGAGGCAGCCAAAGTGTCTACACAGTGGCGTCCCAAACAAGGGCTTTGCCTCCTCCCCAAGGGATCAAGTTAAGGTCTAGCCGAGCCCTACGGATGATGTCGTTCAGGGAAACGTTCGTTTTTTAAATTATTAAAACAACAGTAATATAGCGCCATACACACCCATGTTTTAATGGTATTGGCTTGGTTTTACAACCAGCCGCCTGCGTGACGTCAACCCTGCTTAAGCATTAGTATCAATTCAATATGCACATGAATCTTAAATTGATTTGGCAGTTCTAAAAAAGACACAATAGGCCCCGTGCTTTACACGGTTAATAAACATTTCAACAATTAATTAATAAATCTTTTATCTTTATCCGAATATTGGTAAACGAAGCTAATTCAACACAATCATTTTTGTGATAGCTTTGAAAAGTATAAAACTTGTTTAGATGATGTGCAAAAAAAAGCGTGACAAAAAATGGTTATAAATCTTACAATCTGGATATTTAATTAAACAAAATGTTAATGTATTTTATGTGGATCGAGTCACAATAAATTAGATAAAATTACGGAATGCCATTATTTATACACAGTGATAGATCACATAAAACTAATTCCTTTATAATTAAACGATAGAATGCACTTAAAATTGTGATGACATCGCCTTTCCAATCCTTTTAGTAAAACGCTTATTATATAAAACGCTTTAAACATTATTTGTCTCCCGTTAAATTACTTTGAGAGACATTAATTTTTAATATGTAGAGTTTTAATCTTTTATCTATCTTCATTTAACGAGCTATTATACGAACCAGCCCAATCTTTTATACTATTTTATATTTTCATATGGAAATTCATTCGTAAATGTGATTTTTTGTGTACAACAATTTTCTCTGGAAGTTATGAATGTTTTAATCATCTGATATTATTAATTTATTGTCCCAAATTTGTATTATGAATGAATGAATGAATGAAATATACTTTATTGTACACAACCAACGGATATTGAAGAGTCAACTAAAATAATACAAAACTGTACAATAGGCTATTATTCTCTTAATAATATTTTCACAAAACACACACCCTATTGCAAAGATCAAGAAAAGTTTGCCAATTTCGAAATTTCCTTTTTTTATAACATATACCCGTTATTTAACAGCTTGAGATATTTAATTCTTAATAAGACACGAAACTAAGAAATGAACAAAGGTATCAAATAAGTTGAACTACTTATAATATGCCCTTGGTGAACTGGTCGCATAGAATGTTAACAACTCATAGGATGTAAAACTGTCCGTTTTAAAAAGGCGTAAATGGTTAATTTAGGCATTTGTAGCATATGCACATACTTACGTTGTTAAAGATGCCATATTGATGGCAATAATACCCACCCTCTTATAGCAATATTTATGACAAATATTTGTAAATGTACATTTATACATATTATATATTCATGCATTGGAGCCTTGATAGCTCAGTGTCCGGGCGCTCGCCTTAAATTCAATATACTCGAGCAACCTGAGTTCGATCCCCGGTACCAATGAAGTTTTTAACTTTAAGTGCTGATATATCACGTGCTCTGTATACAGGAGGCCTTTGCCCAGCAGTGGGACATGTATAGGTAACAACTTTACTTTATATTCATGCATACGTTTATTTTTTAGGTTTCAACGGACACTTAACAATGTTTCCTTGTGTATATAATACTAAAAGTATGTATGTTTATGTTGCGTGTATACGTTCACCGCGTTAACCGATGTAGGAATCCTATACTAAACTAGACTACTCCAACCAGTCTAGTTCTTTGTTCCATATTTAGATACTGGTTCTATTTTTATAGGGACTTGCAATTGGCAGTTCACGTATCGAAACTGGTTTATCGACTTTAGAAGCTTTTGCTTACTGATCGTTTGAGGTAATAGGTTCGAATCTCATCATCAATTTTTTTACATAAAAAATCGCTCTTAGTTTGTGTTAGAGAAGAATTAACATCTATTTATATTTTTTTTATGTTGGAAAGTTGCAAGTGAGCTGGCGGCAAGCGAGCTTATTTAGTAAAATAATTTTCGTTGTATTAAGAATTAAAATATACATATAATACTTTAATGCATGTAGAATTAGAAATAAAAGAAATAAACTTAATATAATATCTTAAGAGTAACAATATCTATACGAATTGTAGTTGTTCAATGAGAAAACTTATTAATATTAAAATGATTAACACAACTTTTGATTCATTAAATATCTGCGGAATGCACCCTAGATTTTTTTAATACTTGTAATATTTTCATAGTTAAATTGAAAGGAAAATAAATAAAAATTCACAATTTTCTTCAGGACAAGCTGTAAGAATATTAGTTTGCTGGAATTTTATGGGATTTTATATCTCCAGGAGGCTTCATGTTATTATTTTATACATAATTATATTTAATTTTAACTCAAAACTGTGTTATTTATTTAATGTAAATGCTAGCTGGTGCGCCTCGCTACATCTAGAAAAATCTCTAACTTTTAATATGTAAATAAAACGTTTTGTAATTCTTTAAGATTTTTGTTATTCTTAAGCACTTAGGTATACAATATTTTTGAATTTGCCATCTAGAGGAAAAACAAATAAACTTGTAGGTTTATCAGTGCGGAAGCACGCGACACACTATTGAGTTTTGATATACATACGCCCGGTTTCTGGAACACTGATCATGGTAGAAATCAACTAATCAGCTGTCAAGTGGCTTTTCTAATGTCATTTGAGTTGCCAAAAGGATGATTATTTAATTAAAAAAATCACTGCGACCAGCGCCACCTATCCGGCACTAACGTAAATATGCACTTCGAAGTGCTCATGTCGCCCTTTATATGTATGCTAAGTTCAATACATCAATTGACCTAACGGTTCTCAAGTTTTCGGTGAACATACTAACAACATACACACACACATTCTCTTTTATATGTACAGATGTATTTAATTTTAGTGCATTGCTGTGCGATTGTAAGGTATGGTTGAAATTTAAATTTTCTTGTTCATTGAGAAGTTGGATTATAATCAGTTACAATTTATAATTTTCTTATAATCGTATGTTTCTCAGAGATAAAAGACAACTTTTTAGTTAAGTAAGTTTCTATTCTCTAATTCAAGTTTGTTTTATAGTGTTGTAATTTTAATATATAAATATGGCTTTATGATTATCATGTACATATTTGTATACAAATGTTCTGTTTGTATTTATTGGGTAAGCCTTAATAAATTAATAAAAAAAAATACGCCCAAGCAAGTATCAAAAAGTGGCGGGGAACAAGGTGTAAACAAAACAAGAAAACAACGGCCGTTATACGATAGCACAGTTCTGGATTGTTGCCACCAATGGACAATAATTCTAAATGTCCGACTTGTAATGTGTCCGAGACGATTAACCTTAGGTGAATTTAACGTTTCCTGCAAGCTAATGTTGCCATCAAAATAAAATCACAATAAACCACCGGCTGCTGTGTTTACATTCAGCGTGACGTTTCAACGACGACGATTTTATGGAAATGTACGTTTTTACGGTATTTACGGTATTCGTCTACGCCGAACGGATTGTGACGTCGATATGTAGAAACTGATCTGATTATAAAACCCATAAACAGTCATCTCATCCTCATCCATGATTGACTTGCGGGAATGACAAATTCAGCCTGACCAAGCTTTCGTTCCTTCTATGGCGTGGCTACGGTTATTTACAAATAAATGTATACATGTAAAGGTTATTACCTGAGCTCAGCTGCAGCCTGGATTGAGGAGCGGCAATGGACACGCAAATAGTGAAAACAAAGAGCGAAAGAAGCAGTAGGGTTCGCATCGTGACGGTCCGGTAGATACTGCGCTTGGAAAGGTCTATCGCACATAATACGTAAGCAGAAAAGGGTTATTCTGAAGCGTTTCTGTCACTCCCTTTTTTTAATAACGCATTAAAATCATTACAAGGTTAAGAGAGTTTGTAAATGTTTTCAATGACAATTACTTTGTTTTGAATAAGTAATAAGAATTAAGTTAAATAAACATGACAAGTTTTATTTCAAAATTTTCTTTTATACTTTTATATTTTATTAAAAAATGCAGAGACAGGAACGTGTATTTTACACATTTTATCTTTACATTAATTCTCCGGGAAAATTTGTAATATTTATTACAATGATGTATTTGTTTTAAAGACAGTTGGAACATTATATGAGAATAACTCCAAACGGCAATTGCATAAGCGTCATGTTGGTGGTGAATGTATGTGAAGCCAGCTTACGATTTCTAATTGCTTCACCAAAAGGCGGTATATCACATGTCAATAGTTACAAAATCTCTGAAATGAATAAATGACAATGTTAAAACATAACACTATATAAATAAAACAATTGTAGATTAAATTTGTTGTTTATTGATAACTATTTATTCGCACTTGATTGAATGTATTTGCGTTTGTGATCAAAAATTCCTTATATCTCGTGTACCCTAATATTCTGCTATGTATTATATACAGTTGTATACAAGGGCGGATCCAGCTTTGGTGCCAGGGGGGGGGGGGGGGGTCACATAGTCGTGGTCAAGTGATAAGAATTTATAATTTATTTTATAATCATAGATAGAAGTAAAAAGTAGGTACTTATTTTTAACCGACTTCAAAAAGAAGGAGGAGACAATTCGGATGTTTATATTTTTTTTTATGTGGGTATGTTCGGGCATACCTTCGTCATATATAGACGGATTTGCAAAATTCTGTTCTGCTCATACATAGCGTTGATTTTTATTATCATATATTATACAGGTTGACTTTTATAAAGGTGCCCAAATTCACACCGGAGGTTCAGGCTCGGTAATATAATCGTTTATAGAAATAAAAACAAACTTTAAAAAAAAAAAAATTGGCATTCTATTTCCTAAAAACAACAACAAACTTCTTGACAATGCGGTAGTCATTCATAAATGCGTCTACTTTTGAAACGAAATTGTGTGCGTGTTAGTTATGAATGATCGCGCGTAAAATAAATGAGTTGCCCATAAATCACGCACCTTCTGAGATAAGTTCAAATGAATGTAATTAATTAATTATGAGTGATTTTAAATATTTATCATTTTTATATAACTTTATTTATGTTTAAAATTTAATAAAAAAAATGGATACACTTAGGAAAGCCACCCTGTATAGTATTTTTTTAAGTAGCTATTGTTAGGTTTACTTATTTTTGGAATTTCTTTTTTTATTTCTTCGTTAACAGATTTTATATAGTCATGTTGGTTATAATATTCTTTATTCCTCTACTCTGCACACTGGCTCTACTTCAATGACAAGTAGCCTGAGACGAGACTAAAGGGACACGGGTTGATAATAATATATAATCAACCCAAATGAAAACTCCTAAAATAGCCGTACACAAAATAAAATTACATCGTCCACATTAAAAATGTTCATAAATAACAAAAAAATATTTATTCAGTCATTCATTCATTTATTCGTTCATAATATTCAGCGCTTCTAATCCATATAATCAAAGACAAAATCCACATTCATAACAAACGGAAAGAACAATCTTTATTTCCCAAAGATGGTCTCGCATACTCACGTCCACCAAACCACCACATGTCACCACCCATCAAAAACGGTCCACCCACTAAGACGAATCAAACTCGACGCAGTTATGTTATTTAATTACCGAGTTCCTATGGCCACATGCCAGCTCTGTCATCAGACCCTGGTTACCATCTAGCACCAAAGAACTCGTCATGACGAATCAAACGAGCCGAGACGCAATAGAGTTGCGTCGTTTCTTTACTGAATTCATATGAGTATCTTCCAGCTCCATCATCAGATCAGACCCTGGTAACCATCTAAAAATTAAGAACTCGCCAAGACGAATCAAACGAACCGAATCTCGATGGGGTTGAGTCGTTTCATTACAGAGTAGTAATAGGAACGTCACAGAATAGCCTTATAGATCGGCGTACAGTACTTCTGCGATTTGTCTGGTGAGTACCTCACTCAAGAGATGCATTTTGCTCCGGCTCTAGCTACCTAGCCGGAGCCCACTTTATTAAAAGGAGAAAACGCATCTGCCACCCTATGCATATGTCCATGGACGGGTGAAGATGGAGCTCCATCATCAGATCGTGGTTACCAATGAAAGACAAACTACTCATTAATACGATTCAAATGTACCCAAACGCGATGAGGCTCTGTCGTTTCATTTCAAAGTTCCTTTGGCCTTCTTCCAGCTCCATCATCAGATCAGCACCATGTCACAAAAATATTGGATTGTCGCGATTTACACATGTATACAAAATTGTAGCTCAACCAGTAACCGGGAAGTAGATCAAATTTAATTTGCAAGATTTGATTTGATGATTTAACATTACAATTTTTTTTTTGATAAACATTGGCCTCACTTTAGGATAACATTATCTTGTATTGTAAGGACGTTTTACAAACATAAATTGCACGAGGACAAACATCCAGATGCGAAACAACTATCTGTGGACAGCACACATAGTTGTCCCGTGTGGGAATCGAACCCACGACCCCCGACGCCGATCCCAAAATCTTGGCCAACTGCGCCACGGAGTCATCAAAATATTGTAAAAATGTTCATAAAATAAAAACTACTTGACAAAACTATGGTAAATTTTTATGGGACCAAATGGCAACTATTCTGCATCAAACTAAAGAAAAATCACGGAAATCGTATCAAATCTCAACGTAATCGGTGTACATACATCGAAAAAAATATACCAATCGAATTGAGAAAATCCTTCTTTTGAAGTCGGTTAAAAATATTATATTATTTTAATTAAATATTGAAGGGACTTACATAAAATCTATATATGTGTGCAAAAAATATATAAAAACATTATGTTATACAATTTTAGTGGTCCACCTAGGTCCTGGACCCAGCCCAGGGGGGGGGGGGTCATGACCCCCATGAGCCCCCCCCTGGATCCGCCCTTGGTTGTATATCTATTTTATTGAATGCATATATCGACGTATTGCAAGTAAAAATAACATTAACAATAATGATGTGAAATTATAATGCTCCGTTGACTTATTTATTCTACGTCGATAACCTTATAACGTCATCTCGAACTGTGTCATATTACACTGGACATTGGGGGCATTGATCCTGAAATGAGATTCCTCATCTGAATATTCGTCTCCATCGTATGATTAGGATACGCTATAAGTGGCTTATCTATCAACTCGTAAATTTATATGAATTATGGCCTGTTGATCACCGCCTAATGAATACGTCTCGTAATATTAACGGGCCGAGTGGCCACTTTTATGACTCTAGATTAAATTTATCGCCACAAGTTTAGAAACGGATCGATGTTAGGATAAGGAAAGCCATTTCTCAGATCTGGTTTCGGCGGTGCGTAACTATCTATAGCGTGTTTAGTGAACCACGGGTCTATGTAAGTCGGTTGTTCGAAGATGTCGATTTGCGGTTGGAAGACGAAGTCGTTTAACGTAGGCCAGTTCCTCATTATATCGTACGCTGGATTTTTTAGTCCCCAATCGATTCGTTCCGGCATTCCTGTGTTGTAAGTAGACGACGAGGCGATGACAGTTCCGGGCCTCATCTGCACGAAGCCAGTCGCGATGCCTCTGTTTCCGTCTATTGGATATTTGAATGTCATGGTGTCCCCATTTTTGTTAATACTCGCTCCCGGTGGAGTATAAAATTTGACGCCGCCCACTGATGACATCTTCCCGTTGTTCGATGTAACACTAGCCATGCTTGATACTCCAAAAATGTCGCCCCCATTTTGTATTGCCATTACACCATGTTCGATGCTTTCCTTGTCTTTTTTAACGAATGCGTCTGAAACAAAATATGATTTATAAGATTTCCGATATAAACATTGTTTGAATCTAACTTTTTTTTATGTAAAACAAAGCTAACATGGCTAGCGTAACGCCAGAGAAGTTATAAATGCCCTCACCGGATGTGCGTAGGAGGTGGAAGGGTGTTGGACATTGAGCCACGGTGCTGAAATAATGTTGATATTGTGTTTGGTCGGTCTCTTTATTTATCCTCCGCGACTCAGTGGAGCTGCACCACTGATGCAGCATTAGAAAAGCGCATGGCATATAAGCTGCGGATTAGGTGGAGTTCATTGCCCTAGGGGCCAAGATAGGCACGCTTTATGTTCCAACACAGAAGGCTAGGGGAGTGGGGGTTCCTCCTCTGAAGAGGATGCTTCCGTTGCTAGTACCAGCTAGATTAGCGGATGGGGATAGCGCACGGTCTGCAACAGCCTTGAAGCTGAATCTTTGAGAGAACTGGCGATCCAATTACATAATTGGTCTAGGAGTTCGTATGAACAGATCTTGGAAAGTGCTTTCTAATGTTGCCAAACTAAGTGAATGTTTCAGTACTTTAGCTCTTATATTGGACATGATTTCCAGTATGAGATCACTGAATGCTGATAGACACAAAGTAATTGGTGAGAGGACTTAAAAATACCAACGAATTTAAATGACAAAACCAAAAAAAAGATAATTCCTTCTAAAACAAAAGAATTTAACGTTATTTTTTCTTAAAAGCACTAATGTTTGCAGATTAGTAGCATGTTTGCTTATTTGATATTTTAATTAAGTTTTATTTGTAATAAAGTCGTCAAAATTTTAGAGAAAGCAGTCGCGATTATCGACAACGTGAAAACATTAAATTAGGTACATAATTATATTAATGACATGATATTAGTTGACACAATCAGAACTATAAACGATTGTCATTAGTAAAAATATAACCAAATCCGTTAAAAATTAATATAAGTAAGTTGTGTTGTTATAAAAAACATTATACCTGCAAATGTTGGTCCGGCTACGGCGAATGATACACAAAGTAATACGAAGATAGTCATCGTAGCAGATCTAACTTGAAATGCAACTTGAGCCGAGACCCACTCTCTTTATATCCCAATCTAAAATTATGACTTTTCGTTTATAGTCTTAGAAACCGTTCCTAAATAATGAAGACGCAGAAACGACAAAACTCTTCTAAAGCGCTTGACGCTGTAATTTGGCCAGAGTCAATGAGTTATTAAGGAAGATAGTATAATGTTATATAATTTATTGTATTGTCTATAATTGTATCTATAAATAAATGAATAAACGTTATAGTAAACTAAGAAGGGGAATGAAAATACATGAACATAACTTATTTACAATTAAAAATTAAAATGGGACGGCGTTATTATTTATAAGAAATTATTTCAGGCAATTTTTGAATGGAAATAAGTAAAACCACGTTAAGTGAGCTTTATTTATGCAATGAATGTATACTTTAGAATGTTAATACCTAAAAATTTTGTATATTGTAGTATTTCATTTAGAATTTATAATGTTGTTTTTTGTCATAATTATATATACCTCAAATTGTCGTTTGTTGAAAACGTTAGTGTTTACTTTGACATAGAAACAATTTAACAACTAAATATTTGTGACATTGGTATTTGAACGATTTTTTTTTTATATTCAAGTTTATTTGGAGTTTTTTTAAAATTCAAGTTGTGCCGAGTAGTTTTGAAACCTTAATCTATGTTAATTATTAATATACATCAGAGACGATACTTCTTATTCCACCCAGCTTAGTAACTACTACTGAGATAAAAATCAACAGGTTTCCTGTGAGACCGTTGTGTCGCCCAACCGGTATCCTTAACATAAAGTAGCTATGTTTGGTAGATAAAAAGAGCGAACTAAATAAGATGTTTAAGTGAGCATTCAATAAATAATATCCAGTTACTTATAAAGGTTGTATTTTAATCGCAATTATATCTTATATATCAAAATGAATTGCTGTTCGTTATACTCGCTGAAACTCGAGAACGGCTGGACCGATTTGGCTAATTTTAGTTTGACATATTTGTGGCAGTCCAGGGAAGGTTTAAACGATGAGAAATTATGGAAAAATTGCATGGGAAAATCGAAATAGCAAAAAAATTTATTTTCCCATACAAACTACCTGTCAACCTGTCAATTATGTCTGTGTAACCTGTCAAACACTTTATGGCAAAGCAACGTTTGCCGTGTCAGCTAGTCCGAAATAAAGAACTACAATATACTTATGTATAATTATAAATCCTAAACAATTTGTGACTGTCCCGTGGAAGGAAAATTTGGATTTAATATTACGTATTTTTTGCTTTGCTTCGCTCTTCCTGTGTATTATCCGCGTGCCAATTAGATCAAGAGACGTTCATGCATTTCGCACGGACCAGACCTCATCAATGAGTTCATCGAACCGTGGAATGGCTGCGCCAAAACGGAGGTTATTGGGCACGTATACAAACCTAGATTATGCTATTTTCGGGGCATAAATAGTGCATTGCTCTCCTGACTTCCGAGATTATGTTTTAGAGGGCAGCGACCCGTCGAATGAATTATCCAACTTTTATTCACTCCATGCATTCTTAGCTCGCTAATACTTTTGAGCCCTGTGACAGTGATTAAAATAAATCACCAACAACTTTTCTGTGACCGAAGGTTTGAAGACGTAAGTTTGCTGGGCTGCAACAATAATGTAAAAAAAGTAAAGGGCAAAGCTGGGCAAAGGCCTCCTCTATACAGAGGGTATCAGGGCATAGTCCACCACGAGGCCCCACTGCGGATTAGCGGACTTCACACATCTTCGAAATATATATTTTTTTGTTATTATTTCGAAAATATGCAGGTTTCCTCACGATGTATTCCTTCACGTGATAAGTCAGCACTTAAAGTTAAAAACTTCATTGGTGCCGGCACCGGGGAACGAACTCAGGTTGCTCGAGTATATTGAATTAAAGGCGAGCACCCGGACACGGCGATCACGGCTCAAGTGCAGTAGTAAATGGTTTAATATTCACGCAAACCACCGTACCACCCGGTCAAATTGTTATGATACGTGTAATTTGAAATGTTTCGCTTAAAAAAGCGGAGTGTACTGTAAAAAAGTTTACTTATGAGTTTACTGAATTTACCGAAGCGTTGAGTGAAATTAGTATGGTATGGAGACCTTTGTTCATTTTCTGCTGCTCACATAAAATTGAGATTTAGTATTCAGCTAGAAAAATTGTAACTTTATGTAGACATTCAATGAATATCCAAAAAGTTTTGAAATATATATTTTTTTAAATATTTTTTTAATTTTATAACTTTTGATTTTATTAAATTTGTTTTTAAAATACTCATGGGGACTGAATAATAATAAGCCTTTTAGAATTTTCTGAAATGAATGTCTGTGAACAAATTTTAAAGTTCTGATAGTTTAAAATCCAAACAACTTATATCTTGATTAAACAATAATATTTAGGATATTAAATACTAACTAAATTGCATCTCATCTAACAAATTAACAAAACCCAGTCCACGCGGCAAGGTACCAGAATGCTAGCTGTAATTCCTCGACGAATAGTTATGCTTAACTTTTGAACTTAAGAATTTCAATCAAGCCTGTAGTAAATAGAGGACGGCCTAGAAAGGAGGGAGATACTACGAAGGGTTTTTTTTTATGGAGAAAAGGGGCAAACGAGCAGGAGGCTCACCTAATGGTAAGTGATTCCCGCCGCACATGAACACCTCTAACACCCGAGGGCTTACAAATGCGTTGCCGGCCTTTTAGAAAAGAGTATGCTCTCTTCTTGAAGGTTCCCAGGTCGTAACGGTTCGGAAAGACCGCCGGCGGCAGCTGGTTCCACATAGTGGTTGTGCGAGGCAAGAAATGCCTTGAAAATCGCACTGTTGTGGAACGCTGGACATCGAGATGGTGTGGATGAAATTTTTGGCGCGATGTCCGATAGTGGAATTCAGCCGCCGGGATCAATCCAAACAATTCCTCGGAACGCTCCCCGTGATAAATGCGGTAGAAGATGCAGAGTGATCCAACATCTCTACGCAGAGCCAAAGGATCAAGCTGATCGGAAAGACTTTGATCGTCGATAACCCTAGCCGCCCTACGTTGAATGCGGTCAAATGGAAGAAGCTGGTAATGAGGGGCTCCCGCCCAGAGATGAGAACAGTACTCCATGTGGGGCCGAATTTGCGCCTTATAGAGTTTTAAGCGTTGAGCCGCCGTGAAGTACTGTCTCGCCTTGCTGAGCACACCGAGTTTCTGTGAGGACAATTTGGCCTTACCTTCCAATTGACCACGGAACTGGACGTTGCTCGAGATTTCGACGCCTAGTATTCCGATACTAGCTGTGGCAGATAGGGGAGTGTTCTCGAAATGAGGAATAACGACAAATGGGGATTTTTTAGCCGTTAACGCGCAAACTTGTGTCTTTTTAGGGTTTTTTCTTTCCGCGTATTCCTTATGAGGGTTTGCTAGGACTGAACTTAGTCTTCCCCTTATCCGAGATTTTGCTTCAAAAGCCTCGATTTCAGACAGAAATTTATTCCGATACACATCAATGTACGCCTGAGGAATATTTTCCCAGCCTGTGTAAGTATAAAGTGTCTCTTGTCCTAATGGTAATGAACGTTACTAGTAAGGAAGATATCGTAGATATGCCGAAGAAACAAAGTAGGAGATAGTAGCTTTGTGGGACGCCAACGTACATTATGTGAGGCAATTGATGATCCAATTTCCTCACATAATGTTAAGTTAATGTTAAGTTATTTCTCATAAAGCCTATGTGAAGTAATTTTAGAAAGAAGTGTTGAATGCCAGACCCGATTAGAAACTTTCGCTTAGTCCAAACTAATCGCCAAGAATTTTAGCCATCTCCAATCATTGATAAGTAAAGTTCACCAGAAATTCGCTCGCTGAGCGCACCAACCCTAATAGAACACACACACACTACATATACACTTCAAGGTAGCTAAGGAATTCGCAGTTAATCATGGACTCCATTATTTTGGGGAACACATATTCTTAGGTAATGGCTATAGACGATTAAAACATTACCATGTTTAGGGATTGGGTGCACTAAAGCTATCTTTAAAAAATTTGGGCCGATACATAAGATACACCTACTGCTACATTTTGACAAATGTTAACTATTCCCCGTCAGCCGGGCTCTGGGTCAAACAATTTCGTAGCATTATCATTATAGCCTTTAGCCAAAAGTAATTTTTATATTACATATTAGAAAAACAGCTTTAGTTTCTGGCATTAGGCTTTCGATCTTTATCATTAATTAAAATGTTGTGAAAATTTTCAATTTTTTTTTTTATGCGAAAAGTTGCCTAACGAGCAGACGGGTCACCTGATGTTAAGTGAATACCGCCGCCCTTGGATATCTGCTACACCCGAGGGTTAGAGATGCGTTGGCAACCTTTTGAAAATTGGGCTCCGGCTACCTCACTCACCAGACGAAACGCGAAAGTATTTGTCATACTTCCACTTTACGCTAGTCTTCTGTGAAGTCGTAGTACTTACCCGGACGGCCCTGCCCGTTCGTGCAACAGCCGAGGCTGCTGCGTGGCCCTACCACCGTAACTAACTTTCACCTAAATATCAATAAATGTCCATGATTGGCTTAATATGATTAAAATAATTAATGCTCGTTCTTAAATAATTGCTTTTCTATAATCCTAATAAATTCATTTATAAATATTTGGTCCTAGCTACTGAATTAATTTTGCGAAGACACGATCGTCTAAATCAACAAAAAGGAAGTAATAGGATTGTAACTGTTTTATAACACTAACTCAGCCATGCTTAGGTTTCTATGGAAAAATTATAAGCTAATTTAAGAATTATAAATAATAATGGTGCCCTACTACGTCCCATGTTTATTTTAATTAAATGAAAAATGTTTTTTCTCTCATATATTTTACTTTATTAGCTATCTTTTTATAGCCCAGCCTACAAGAATACTTTTAGATTTAGATACTTAAATTAAATTAATAACTTAAAAAATTCAACTGCATTCAATAAAAATTAACGGCGTGCGAGTTGGCCGCTTGGACGCCGGGCGCGTTGACACTGGTCGCACCGCTCTCCTGGATCCTCCCTCCGTTTTGCTGGATCGTGTGGGCGGTGCTCGCCTTGTAGTTACCGATGTTCTCCGCAGCGGCGACGGAAGCGCCATAGTTGTTGTACCCGTTAAGCGACTGGGCCGAGGAGAGAGCTGAGCCGAAGTTGCCTACGTTTTGGGCGGAGGAGACAGCGGATGCTTGGCCCAATCCATTGGCGTTAGCGGATGCCACAGCCGACTCGTAACCTAAGCCGTAGTTTTGAGCTGATGAGACCGCAGACGGGTACCGGCCGAATTCTCCATTAAGGACGCTTGAAGATGCGGACCCGAGGCCGTTGTGGGAATGGGCGGTAGACACAGCGGAGCCGAAGTTCTGGACGGGCACCGCATAGTTGTGGTGCGTGACACCGCTCGTTGCGTGCTGGTGGCTCACCGGGTGGCTAACTTGGTGGCTTACTGGTTGGCTAACTTGGTGGCTAACTGGATGGCTCACTTGGTGGCTAACTGGATGGCTCACTTGGTGGCTAACTGGATGGCTTACTGAGGTGCTCACTGGCTTGCTCACAATGTGGCTCACCGGGTGACTAACGGGGTGACTCACGACTACGTGTGCGGGTGCGTTAGCCTGCCCTACGCCACTGGCGTAGTCACGGCCTGCAAAGCCAGCTCCGTAGGCCTCAGCGTTGCCACTCTGGAATGCAGTGCCATAGCTGTTGGACTGCCTGATGCCACCGATATCGCTGCTGAAGCCGCCACCGAAGCCGAAAGCAACGTTTGGCGAGCGACTGTCGCGGAATACGGCATTAGGGTACTGACCTGAAAGAAAAAGGTTGTTAGTGAGTTTATGTCACTTGTTTTGAATTAATCTTTAAGAACAACTTCGTTGATACTATCCTCACTTCGCTAAATTTCGTTCTAAAATGTAACAGAAGGTAATTGTGTCGCAGTACAGCGTGCACAAAAATAAGACCATTGTCTCAAGAATTACCACTTCTGCAAGCAAATCGATAAACTATGCATTATATTTTAAATCTTACATGCACCCTCGGATCGGGATTTAATGTTCTTACAGTTATTGAAAATCTTTGTACTAATTCAATGTTCAAATTATTTTCATCTGAACTTTAAAATTAATTCGAGCAGTTGACGGATTGAAAACGATGCCCTTTCATCGACTTACCAATCCACGCAGGTACGGCTTGACAGGCTGAAAGAGCGGCTACTAGGATCACAAGCTTGGCTGCCATTTTGTTTCTCGGTTGGGACTGTATCTTTCACCGATATCGATTGCGTTGTGATGACCGTGAATCATATCATAGAGTATATATACTAGAAAATTATCTCCCCACTGCCGATATTCACTGGGTCAAAGAAATCCACCCAAAGCCATTGACACCTGTAAATTTGTTTCAAGAATTTCGATAAACTAATTCGATGTCCTGGTGGCGCTCTGATATCATAAATTTTGTCTGAGGATTGTTATTAATTAGCGGTCTTTTTAAAAATCGCGTTATGTTATTTGTATTAAAATTCATTTTTTATTCTTCTTTTTTATGTTTCGAGTTTTTAGTTTAATGAGATATTTAAAATAAATGACCACGAATTAATTAAGAAAAGTCATTGATTGCTTTTAAATTAATAGATTACTTTGAATACAACTTTAATGATTAATTTTCCTGTTAAACGTGGAATCAAAGTCATAGATTTCTCATCTTTAGTATTAGGCTAAAGAAATAAAAAAAAAAGAAATCTATGACTTTGATTCCCACCTGGTATGATCTTTATTACTAATCTGACATACTATATATACAAGAGCATTTTAGTATTATAATTTTTTTTCACGTGAGAAGATTGCAATCAAGCTGGCGGCCTAATCTTAAATGATATCCGCCCTTCATTGGCATTTGCAACACCGTAGGGTTGCAGCCTTCGTACTAGGTCGCCTGTATCCCCTTTTAAATAAAACTTCAAAAATCTCCTTTCGGATTAAGGTGACTTTATACAAGGCAGTAGTTCGCCCATCTTATGACGTACGCGAGTCCGGTCTTAACGTACATTGACCCGAGGCAAATACAGCGGCTTCAGGTCATCCCGAATCGATTTTTGCGCAGAGCTACGGGAGCACCGTGGTTCATGCGGAACATCGACTTACATGTAGATTAAGAGCTGCCAACCATCGCTCAATTCCTGAAGTCGGCTTCGCGTCGCTACTTCGAGCTCGCGGCGGCGCATCCCAATCCGTTAGTCGTAGGTGCCGTCATCTACAGACCGCTACCGCTAGGTTCGTTCCGTCGTAAATGGCGCAGACCACGACATGTATTCGATTTCCCTAACGATGAGACGACTATCGCCATCGACAAGATAAAACAATTACGCAAACACATCAGATCACACCGTACTCACCGGCGAATGCGGCAAACATATATAAAAGCGTTGCTGGAGTTTCCGCCACTTCTTCTCCCAGCGCCAACGCTTTCCGAAGTGGTAGTAATGTTAGATCTAGAAATTCTTCCAGTCAGAAAATATCTACCGATCGAACCGAGGTCCGGCCCTCTCAGGAATTGGAATGCTAAAGGGGTATTGAGTGACAGCGCAAGCGGAGTGTACCCTCTCGGGGGCCCTAGAGCCTAGTCACTCCATGGAGCGTCTGCCAAAGCGTTCTAAGAGCTTGGTAGCCTTCCAAACCGGAATGATAATAATAGCGTGACGGCCCGAGCCGCCGAGCTTAGTCACCATAACGTGTAATAATAATACCACGAGGTTCACGCGGCCACCTCAAGTCCGGCGGAACTGTAAATGCGCCTAAAGCTAACAGAGACTCATCCTGCCAAAAAAAAAAATCAAGCCAGTCTTCTGTAATCTGCCCATTCTTGCAACGAATCTGCAACCTGACCTACGGTTTGCAAATGTCCATGAGCGGTGGTTATCACTTAACATGAGGTGAACCGCCAGCTCCCTTGCGACGTTCTCACATAAAAAACAAGACCTGGACGACGACTCAAAAATATCTAAACTAAACCACTTATATTCTTCTAGTTTGTGCTGCCTCAATTCCACCTTTCCAGACTTCATCGAAGAAAGCGATTTTAAAGAACTCAAATTAATTTTAACGCTATTTAAAGGTTACTCGACTTAGTTTTGTCGAACACAACCCATGTGTGTTTTTATTACTAGTTTTGATCTATTAACCAACCTCATCTAAGCATAAAGATCAAACTGGACCAGACTAAATTAACTAAAGATAAACTCGATGCAAAATATAACTTTTAAAAGGCTAACTATGGCGCTATTATTAATTAATTAGACAATACTCCATCTATTGAATTATTTAATAATGCGATAACGTCAACTCTGTGGTCACTTTTTTACAACAAAGTAAACTCAATTATTGGCAAGCATGTCCCGACTAAACCTAAAAACCTTACTTCCAATCTGTTATTCTAAAAAAGTATTCTCTATGTTAAATAAATATAGAATAAATCAAAAATAAATATAGAATAAAAGCCAAAATTTGTAATAACACCTTTGATATTAAGTTAATACGCAATTGTTAATATTTGTATAAAGAATCAATTGATGTAATGCAACCTAAAACAGAACCCAAAATACTTCTGGGCACGTCTTAAAAAATAAGAAAATCATCTAACACATATCTAGCTACCATGCTTTTCAGTGATAAAACCGAGTCGGAGTCGCGCACGATGGGTTCCGTACCATTATCTAAACTACAAAAAATCATGTCTGTTATATGGGAGCCTCTTTTGAATAGTTTTTTATTCTGTTTTTTAGTATCTGTTGTTATAGCGACATCAGAAATACATCATCTATGAAAATTTCATATGTCTAACTGTCACGGTACAGCAGATACAGCCTGGTGACAGACGGACAGACAGACTGACAGATAGCAGTGTCTTAGTTATAGGGAACCGTTTTCCGAAAAGACCATAGATGGTTTCAATGCGATTTCATTGGTTTCGATGCAATCTACGATAGCAGTGACCTTTTCCAGGGTGTTGATCAAATACATACGTACCACCCTAATGACAACTGCTCCGTCAAAGTTACCGTCAAGGAAGTTTACAGAAATTAAAACGACTTGGGAAAGGAGCGGATATTGGAACTTTTCCGGAATTATGGAAAAGAGCCAGAATAGTGTCCATATACAAAAACAGTGGGCGGTAAAATATAATTAAAAGGCCGATTTCGATCTTATCAGCTAACTATCTATCTCATCTCAGCCCTGTAGTCTCGGTAAGGTATCCTGGTAAGGTATCTCTGGAATCGGGAAAGGTTTATCCTTCTCCGAGGCGTGCTCACGCGCAGTACTGAGGGACACTGGTGCGTTCCGTAGGAGATTCCGAAGTCGCTCCAAAGGTACAGACGGTGGCCACCAGGGGGGGGGGGGGGGGGTACGAACTCCAAATAAGCCTGTCATATCATGACAGGGTATCTTTTGAAGATTCCCACTTCCCTCCTACCCAGATAACAAAAAAAGCTATCTATCTTATCAACGTTCTTTCTATTGGATTTTTGGCAATTCTTGGCGTAATTCCCTATATTCTTTGTAAAGTATTGTATGCTGTAAAGGATGCACACTAGAGATTCGGCGAAAATTTTTGTTCATTTATCTACAAAAACAATTACAATTTACGTTACAGATCATGTTGATAATATTTGCACATCTGCGCGCAAGATGCTAGGTTTTGCGTTTAGAAATTCTAAACCAATTAAAAAACTAAAACGATTCTATCGTATGGTACGTATGGTACAGTCGTCTGGAACCTCAGTTACTTTGTATATTTGACAAATATCAATTTAAGATTATCCAATGACGATTCATACAATTCTTTTCTGGACGCAAAAATAGAGAATACTAATCGACTAAAAACCTTTAACTTAAGCTCGCTCAAAGTAACGTAAACTGGAGGATATTATATTCCTACATAAACTTAATAACGGGACTATAGATAACCCCATAATTGTTGACCTAAATTTGTTTTAAGCCAATTTTAAGCTTACCGCGGTACCCCATTCAATTAATCAAGCCCAATTTGTACAGAACCAACCATGGCCACCACTCCATCCTACCTCCCTTAATCAGGCTAAACCAAGAATTTTCAAGGAAAGAAAATTTCATCGATTTGTTCTACGATAATTTAAACACGATCTACTAATGACACATAGGCTATAATTTATATACATATTTTATGCTGCTACCCTGTGTCTGCGTAGAATAGGCTAAAGGCGTAACATTCAGAAAGAAAGACGGATAAACATAATTCTGATGTATAAGCTATATTATTGTAAAGTTTCATTAAAATCCATTCAGTAGTATTTGCGTGAAAGAGTAACAAACATCCATCCATACATACAAACTTTCGCCTTTATAATATTAGTATTATAGTAAGGATAAGGTTCGATTGAATTAATAAAATATGTTTTTTTTTTTAAATATAGTATTTTATTAACTATTCATGAGCATAGTCATGAAGACCCTAAGATACATATTTTTCATTACACTTAAATATAAATTAATAATTTAAATTAGATTATTTTACAGTTGTATTTAATAGAAGTTGACGGCGTGCGAGTTGGCCGCTTGGACGCCGGGCGCGTTGACACTGGTCGCACCGCTCTCCTGGATCCTCCTGCCGTTTTGCTGGATCGTGTGGGCGGTGCTCGCCTTGTAGTTACCGAAGTTCTCCGCAGCGGCGACGGAAGCGCCATAGTTGTTGTACCCGTTAAGTGCCTGCGCCGAGGAGAGAGCTGAGCCGAAGTTGCCTACGTTTTGGGCGGAGGAGACAGCGGATCCTTGGCCCAATCCATTGGCGTTAGCGGATGCCACAGCCGACTCGTAACCTAAGCCGTAGTTCTGAGCTGATGAGACCGCAGACTGGTACCGGCCGAATTCTCCATTAAGGACGCTTGAAGATGCGGACCCGAGGCCGTTGTGGGAATGGGCGGTAGACACAGCGGAGCCGAAGTTCTGGACGGGCACCGCATAGTTATGGTGCGTTACACCGCTTGTTGCGTGCTGGTGGCTCACCGGGTGGCTAACCTGGTGGCTTACTGGATGGCTCACTTGGTGGCTAACTGGATGGCTCACTTGGTGGCTAACTGGATGGCTTACTGAGGTGCTCACTGGCTTACTCACAATGTGGCTCACCGGGTGACTAACGGGGTGACTCACGACAACGTGTGCGGGTGCGTTAGCCTGCCCTACGCCACTGGCGTAGTCACGGCCTGCAAAGCCAGCTCCGTAGGCCTCAGCGTTGCCACTCTGGAATGCAGTGCCATAGCTGTTGGACTGCCTGATGCCACCGATATCGCTGCTGAAGCCACCACCGAAGCCGAAAGCGACGCTTGGTGAGCGACCGTCGCGGAATACGGCATTAGGGTACTGACCTGAAAGTGGAAGGTTGTAACTGAGCTTATGCCACTTGTTTTGAGTTGGTCTTAAAAGTTCTAAAACGTTACAGAAGGTGATTGTATCTCTGCAACGCGGAAATAATCGTGAGGCCATTGTTTCAAGAACTACAATTTCTGAAAGTAGATCGATAAACTATGCATTATATTTTAAATCGTACCTACAACCCCAGTTTGAGATTTGATATGGTCACGATTAATGAATAAAGTTGACCCACACATACAGTACGCAAGAAGTATATTTGTATTTATTGAATCTTAAAATAATTTTGAACATTTGAATTATTTTAAGCAATTGGGTAACTAACAGGATGCACTTTTAATTAACTTACCGATCCAAGCAGGTACGGCTTGGCAGGCTGAAAGCGCGGCTACAAGGATCACAAGCTTGGCTGCCATTTTGTCTATCTCGGTTGGGACTCTACCTTTCACCGATATCGATTGTGGATGACCGTGAATCATATCACCGAGTATATATACTAGAAAACTATCTCCCCACTGCCGATATTCACTGGGTCATAGAGATCCACTCAAAGCCATTGACACTCGTAAATTGGTCTCAAGAATTACGGTAAACTAATTTGATGTCCTGACGGCGCCCCGATATCATAAATTTTGTTACATTGGCGGTTTTTTCAAAAATAGAATATTCGTAACAAAACTCAAATGGGCCGTTGTTGAAATAAATAGATCTTTCGTATACTTCCTTTTTGTATTCCAAACGCGCTACCGTTATTCGAAACATAGTTGTTAGTTTAAACGTGTTATAATTTCAATAGATTATAATATGAATAGTGGGTTTTTAAACCGCCCGTAATATATGATAATATTGATAACGTTTTACCGATATTATTAGAATAATAATGGAATTAGTTTATGAGATTAATAGAATATTTTCATTTTAATTTTAAAAAGAGATTAATAAAGACTGAAGTACATAACTTTTGTTAAATATGACGGTTATATCGAATTTAATTTTATATTAAACATCCTGACTGGCTTTTCTCTTTAATAGCCAATCTGAATAGTAAATAATGTAAACAATAGTTGTTTATTCTATAATTAAATACAAAGTAATTTTTGAGTTGTAGTTTTTATTCATGCACAATTGCGCATGAATAAAAATTAATTAAACGGTCAGTTATACGTCACTTGGGCAATTACACTATTGACGTTACTACGTTAATCCATTTTTTTACTAGCTTTTTTAAAATTGTATCGCGATATTTCATAGATGTAAACAATCACAATGAGCTAAGTAGTCAAAATATATTGATGCATTAGGCATAATTGCATATGAGAACTTATTCGTATACATCTCTACATTATTTAATTTCGTATGCGACACATAGGTGCGACATATAGGAAAAAAAAAGGTTCTTAACTATGACTTTGTAAACAAATAACAATAAGAGAAAAAGTAACAGTGCAATGTATACCCGCTATCAGCTAGTAAAATTTATTCATACATGTTTATTGAAAACCATAGAGCCACATATAAAATGAAAATAAAACTGTCTTTTAATTTACGCAAATTAATTAATTGATAATGACGTTCCCAATTTTACTAAGAATTTTAAAAGCTTTCATTAATTTTGGAAAGGTAATTAAAGTCTTGATCCAGTTTCCAATTATTGCAGTATTATAGGTTTGTTGGGGAATTATTATTCGCATTCGGTCGTTTAATAAGGTCGTAGAACTTTGAGGTAAACTTTAGCATTTTATTGAGGATGTGGACCGTTTGTTTCTATATTTTTATAAACAACCATTTTTACTCGTACAATTTTATAATTAGAAATATGATTTCTGATTTTAACGGGGGCAGTTAATGCTTTGCGAGCAGCTGTAACAAGTTAGTAACATATATTTGACAGTACAAACTTTGATACATTGTATTAGTAAAAACGTTTAACGTATAAATTGTACCATTCTGGTATATTAGTAGATAAAGTTCAAAAAAGGCATAATAATAGAAATAAAATTTCATATTTACAGATAGTTTATTTCTTATATGTCTTTAATCTCTGCACAGTAAAAATTGAAGTGAAAGTACCAGTTATAAGGAGGAATAATAACCCTTAATGTTATTTGCAAATACTGTATAATTAACTAACTATTCGAATAAATCACAGATGGTGCTTAGTAACTAAGCTTACACTAACTATCGCTTCTACTGGTCACTTGACTGGCCGACCTGCCGTGACCGTCGTAGTCTGACCCATCCTCGTGTCCATCGCTCGATGGCCTATCGCCTTCGTCGTAAAAGTTTCCGAAGGGCCCTTGGTAGCCGCTGTAGCCCTGTGGCCTCCCATTTCCACCGTAATAGTTCCCGTTAAACTGGTTATTGCTGGCTCCATATCCGTTATTGAAGTATCCCGGTCTTCTATAGCCGTATCCCCCTGGCACCGCTGGCCCGCCGTAACCACCGTTGTATTGATAATTGTTGGGGTAGTAACCGCTCCCGAAACCGCCGCCGCCCGCGCTCGACGAGGACTGCGATTGGCTGATGCCGATGTTTATTGGAGCGGGGTAGCCTCCATAGCCGCCACCGTTGCCGCCATAACCTCCGCCGTTGCCCCCATAACCGCCACCGTGGCCCCCGTAACCGCCTCCGTAGCCCCCATATCCGCCATACTCGTTACTGCAATGTCCGAGGATATAGCACAGTTTCTTCTTCAGTAAAGTGCGCCGTACTCTGTTGTGACCTACGTCTCCAGATTCTGCAAATAGGTCGCTGTATTTAGTATAATAAATGAAGTATTTTTATTTATGACTAATAGTTTAAAAATACACATAAACAATTTTCAGCGATTGCATGTGCACGTGGCATGGTGTGGTTTCGTTCCCTACACTTGAAAAAATATTGTGTGGAACGCACCCTTCCTATGTGTTATGGGTGCGAAAAAATTGAAGATTGAGGATTTTTGTCGTGTCAGGGTCTTATTAAATCTGTAATAACTATATATTTAAAAATGTATCATATTATATATTTTTGGAACAAAAAATATTTACGAAATTAAATACTAAAAAAATATATTAAAATTATGTTTATCAGTTACCTATTAATATGCTTACTTAACGAATAAATAAGTGTTTAAAAATATGTCTGAAACATTACAACAAATATGTATTATATAAAATTACTTGTACAAAGGTAAGAGTAGTAATTTTAAACATGTCAACAATGTATATGCATACCTATTTATCGATGTGATATGAAATAACAATACAATCTCAAACAAGTAATGTTATAAACAGTTTCTAAACATTGTTTACTAAATATTTTTATATGTTACCACGCCTAGCATGTGAGTGAGTTTGAGATTGAAAAATAATTAATGTAAAAAAGTTATGATGACAAGCATCAAAGTTTTTATATAAATTCGTCTTCTAAGTACTATAATCTACTCGTTAGCGTAACGGTATCGAAAATTTATCGATCAGCGCACATCACTATACTTGTAATTATCAGAAAAGAAAAAAACGTGATTACAACCTTCGGCTAGGGCTTGGCTCAGTCCGACGATAACGAATGCAAAAACAAACGATTTCATCTTGCTCCGGTGCCGGTGGAACTTTTAACGAATGTGTTGTTTTTCTGCTAAGAACGTAGCGGTTTTATAGGTCATTCCGAGGTCTTAGCCCACGCTCTTTAGCCTTGGAATCGGCAAACTATTTCCCACGGATGTAACGCGGACGTTACGAATTTCGGAACCGATTCCCTTATTTGGTCTTGCGGAAGTTTCTATGGATCCGATTGATATGCAGATTACTCGACTGTTAGATATTATGTGCGTATATTTTTTAGATAGTTTTCAACCGACTGAAGGTTAGAAACCGTTCTGTCATGCTACTTACAGAACTATACACCGACGAGCACAGCGCTGGTAGTACTGTGTCAAAGCCATCAAACAATGTAAACCCATACATTAGATGTGTAGGTAGCGAACATATAACATGCATATTATCTTTATATAAAAGCCGTGATAGCTCAATGTACGAGCGCTCGCTTTTAAATCATTATACTCGAGCAACCCGAGTTCAAATCCCGTTGCATGCGCCAATGAAGTTGCTAATTTTAAGTGCTGACCTATCACCAGCTACCTGATGTGCTGATACCAGCATATTTTCGAAATAATAAAAAAAATATTTAGAATGTGATGATATGAAGTCTGCCAATCTGCAGCGGGGTCGTGTGCAGACTATTCTCTAATGCAGAGGAGTCCTTTGCCCAGCAGTGGAACATGTATAGGCTAATACCTTGCTAACTTTTTTTAAATCCTGCCATTGCCATGCCACTAACGTCATAACACACAAGAACCTTTTATCGATATTTGTATCAGTTGCACCGACTATGTATATATACAACAATTTTTGCCGTATAGAATGTTGCCGCCCGTTTAAAAGTGTTTAAAAGTAGTTTAAAAGTGGACGTCTTAATCTCTATCTAATCAATATTGAGTAATTCAATAAATAAATAAAATCTCAGTCAGTCCGAGATCAATCATCCAGTATGCTCAGAATTTAAAACAAACAATTTCTATGCACATTTTTAATGTGGTTATTGGGACTTCGATATTAGTGTCATCGTACTATATGCATGGTTCATAATTCTTCTATAAGTATACACAAATTGTCCATTTTTCTCGAACTTATAACAGTCACTTTGGTGAAAGACCTCTTGTTAATATAGATTATTATAATTCTTAAACGGATTTCAATTCACCGTAATTAAGAGGAACTGACGACGGTTGTAATACACATTTACTTTTGGACACGCCTACTCATACGATATTTCAAAAATCAACGCTCATACAGACGAGACTGTTATAGATCAAGAAAACAGACCGTTATCTCAATACATCTTTGCCTAATAAATCTCTCCCCGTGTGTTCCTTAATAATTCATGTAAATTAAAACCGAAACTATAAATTAATTAAATAAACTCGTACCAAGTTTCGATTCACTTTGAATAATGGCGTGGTCAAATTCAAATTGTACACTAGACAAATGATCGTGGGCTGCCATTAATTTTCTCCGCGGAAAGAGCGTTTTACGTGTTTCTTAATTACTATTCGCCTGCTACATTTTACAATATTTTGATTTGATTTAAAGTTTGTATGACCGTGATATTGAGCGGTAATACGAAGTTAAAATGCTTTAAGTGTCCATTAATGAACAGTTAATCGAGTAACATCTTGTACCATATTTCGGCCTTATTCCGAACCTAACCAACGGTACTTACTTTAATTAATTTATTAGGCTTAACTTAACAAAGCAGCTATTAAGCTTAAAAATATGAAATTATCACAAGCTAAAATATCTGTCCTGTTTAAACTTAGTTTATTGCTAGGCTATAAATATACGAGACTGTAGAGAGAGAGAGAGATATAGACTATAAACTCCTACTCCTTATAGTTTGTTAGTCGATGAATATCAATATGTAGTATTAGTTTTTAGCAAACGGCTTGGAAGCGCGGCGAATTTCAAGAATTAACCGAGTACTTTATTCAAACGGTCCCGTTAAAGGCGCTACTGAGAAATCTGCGCTAAGAGAAGCAGTAAAAAAGGAGAATAGATAATAAATATGTCCGAGATTGTTCTTGGTTGAATACAGATGTAGTTGCGATTTTATTTAATAGTATTTTTCGTTTCGTTTTACAACTGCATATTATATGAGGTTTTCTGAAGTGGGTTCGCTGACCCGCGTTTGTCTTTGTTTATATTTTGACAACTTATTACGCAATATCTTCGTATTAAAACCTTTGTTATAAGATGAAAGAAGTAATTCCAATTTGAACTCGTCGAAACAAAACTATCAAAAGATAAATTTCCAATTTGTGCAAATGTGCGGGAAGTCGATGGATGCCGGTGGCTCAGGATCGTGCTTCGAGGCCTATGTTCAGTACTGGACTCGAACAGGCCAAAATTTGCTTATACGATAGTTTGCTTTACTTTCCTAATTTACGTAAATTCGATAATAACGGTTTTGCGAAAATTGTTTCTAGACTGGAAATAATGTACTGATAGTGGGATATATGAAGACTAATAATTTCATGTAAACCACTATCTTTCCATTATTCATTAACGTGTGCTCGATGACAATAAGATTAATAAACTTACCTTACTTATATTTCATTCTGTTAGGCATTCCTGTGTATAACAGGATTGAGGATTTTTTTACGAGGAGATTGACATAAGCGCAGCCCGTTAGACATTCATATGTATCACAGACATAAAGTTGAATGTATGAGCATAAATGAATTGTTATTATCCTGTGTGTTGCCAATTATTACTCGAATTCGACGAGCAATTCTTGTATAATATCGGAATCTCGGAAACGGCTCCAGCGATTTTCATTAAATTTAGTATGTGCGTAGATTCGGGGGCGAAAACTCGATCTTGCTAGGTTTTATTTTTAGAAAATGTCGTTTTATCCCAGTTTCGGGGAATGAAAAATATCACTCGAATGCGACGGTAAATTTCACAGAAAAAAAAATGTTATATTAGCTCGGTCGGTAATCGGGCGGCCCCGAAACAGAAGGCTGCGGTTCGTGCCACGATCATTTACACACTTATTGCTTGATGAATTGATTTTTTTTAAATTAAAAGTTAAAACTTTTGAATCTAATGAAAATTGGTCAAATTTTTATAATATACTACTGTTATTTAACTTGGTTTATAATTCAATTTCAGAATCTCCCCAAATATGTAAGTTTGTACTAATGATCATAAGACAGTGACACTTATTTTCCAATGATGCTCTAATACAGTGTAGTTACAAGTGTTACCACTAGAAGTACTTGTTTTCACGTAAGTTACCATCACACTTCGGAGACTATAAAACACGATCTAATTAAATGCGTGGAAAAGTTAGTTAAGATAATAGGATGGTTTTGTTGATTATTATTAGTCGTTGAATTTGCGTATGCAGACCATAACCAAGAAGATAGTCGACTGTATTACATAATTGGGAGTGTGTAAACCGCCCTGGGACAGCGTAATAAGTACTGTTGTACTTTAGCAGAGCGATAACAGCGTGCATAAAAACTCCTGCTGCATGTATTGGTTTGGAGGCAAGCTTCACAGAAGACCGGCGTGGACTTAATAGTATTTTCACTTTTAAGTTTCGTCCGACGACTAAGGTAACTGAGCTCATTCTTTTAAATGTCAACTACAACCAAAGACATGTTTTAGATAGTACACGTCCACTCTTTTTAAAACTCCTCAAAAAAACCGGCCAAGTGCGAGTCGGATTCGTGCACAAAGGGTTCCGTATCGTTATTAGTAAAAACGGCAAAAAAAATCATGTCTGTTGTACAGGAGTCTCACTTTAATATTTTTTTTTCTGTTTTTTAGTATTTGTTGTTATAGTGCCAACAAAAATAGATCATCTGTATAAAAATTAACGGTCTAACTATCACGGTTCATGAGATACAGCCTGGTGACAGACGGGCAGACAGTCAGACAGTGGAGTCTTAGTAATAGGGTTCCGTTTGACTCTTTGGGTACGGAACCCTAAAAATGAAACTACTCCACGAAGTACTAGGAAGAACACTATCAACAAAATTCATTTATAAGACTCTTTAATTAAATCGAACGGATTCGAAGCGATGGTGAGACCTTTCTTACCAGTTTGTAGCTATGTAATGTACTACTGGCATTAGTATTTCCAAACTCTGGCTCCCAAGATACAACTGCTTTGTTAGGGATCCATTGTTAATATTTCGTACTTTGATATTAGTTAAAATATTTTATATTTTAATCTTGATTACTAACTACTTTTAACTCATGTTTGGTAACTTGTTTGTTTCTACTAAGATGAATAAATTAAAAAAAAAATGACATGCGTATTATCTTATATATTTCAAGCGAAATCACCTTCTTTGGACTAGACCAGGTTTGGTGCGGGCATATTAAGTTTTATTAAAAAAACTTTTTTATGCATTAAAGAAATATGTCTATAAGTAGTAATAAATTCAAAGGGGTCGCTGGTCTTATGAAATGTAGAAATTTTATCTCGGTAGCATCTTTCCGCGACGATGCTATAAATCAAGTTCTTAAAGAAATAACGACATTATGCGATTTAATTTAATGGAGGCTCCTCATCAATTCTTTTAAGTGATTAAAAGTTCTTTTAAATCTAATATATTAAAATGTTTGATTGGAATTTAAACTTTATGTGATTATTGTTTTCATCTTCTTCATAAATAACACAATCCATCACGGTCCATCCTTGTGTCAAGTCCACCGTCGTGGGCATTCTCTCATCTGAGCCATCCAGAACGGGATTTTAGAGTCATGACTCTCTTTTCCCAAATAATATCTTGAACAAATCGGAATTAATATTAAACAAGGGGATAAAGTTCAATGCTGATTCGATGAAAAGAAAATTAAAATGCTCACAATCATCATCATCATCATCATCATCATTTCAGCCTGTTTGAGTCCACTGCTGAACATAGGCCTCCCCCACAGACTGCCACGAAGTACGATCCTGAGCCACCTGCATCCATCGACTTCCCGCACATTTGCACAGATCGTCACTCCATCT